TCTGGTGTGCCTCGATCTGTTTCGACACTCCGAGCTTCTTGTAAAAAACACGTTCACCACGCAATTGTGATGAAACAGCCGGAGCGGTGAAAATGGCAACGACCTACTTTCTGTACTGCCTAATGTGGACTACCTCGTACCGCGTGCGCCCACAATCCACTCCCAACCCACGGTCTCCCGGGACGCGTGGCGCAGGTGACGACCAACTCGGTCCACGCCGCGCGCGCCGAGTTCCCCTCTCGGGGCTGAGTCGGCCTCGTGCAGGCTCACGGCGACTCGAGCACCAGGGAAACGTCCCCTCGAAGGTCGATGGCCCCAGCCACTGATGTGTCCCCGGGGGTGAGCTGGGCGTCGATAGCGCTGCCTCCGTAGGGAGAACGTCGCTTTTGACGCGTGCAGGATTCAGACACGGGCGAGCGAAGGGATTTTGTCAGCGCGGTCTTCTCTGCCCTCCCGTCTGCTCTGAAGAAGGGCCGTTGCCGAAAACGTTGGCTAGCCAATGTTAACTCCCTTGCCTGGTATTCATGAGGTCGTGGGTTCGATTCCGACACTGGCACCTGCTGTGTATTTGGAGCTTGCGTCTCTCTCTCTCGCTCTCACTTCTCCGGTTTTCCCCTCCACATTCACAATCACGAATTTGGAGCACTGCATTTGGCTGCTATACATTTCCACATGGTAAGCAACTTCGTTGAGCTATCATTTGTGGCCAGGACACTTCTGAAAAAGAGCTATAGAGCTCAGCGGGCATTACGTGGTAAAATAAATCATCGTTTATAAATAGTAATAATCAACCCGGCTGTCACCCATCGAGCATGGTGAAGTTTGGTTAACCAGTGACCTCACGCCATGGAGAGGTCGTCAGAAGCAGATGTAGAAACTTCCCAGAAGGGGCGTTTCGAAATTTCAAGCTTTAACTAGGGCACTGAATCAGTGCTGATGACAGTCGGATGTGGTGTTGTCGATTTTGCATCTGAATTTATTAGTTTAAAGCCCTTTGTCAATCTACTCGTGGATGAAGGCCCTCTGCATGCTGTATTGGTCATGGGGGTTGTTAAGGTCGGGGATGAGGAATAATTCAGATATCACTCGCAGCTGATGTTACCGGGAATCAAACTCATGCTCAGGCCTCAGCACACATTGCACGAACCCCCGCTTCCACTTGTTTGTATTTACAGTCACAGACGTACATTAGTAGGTGAGCACCACGAGTGACGCGGAGTTCAACTGTGAGTGCGAGACACGTGGGGTAGCACTGCGTGGGGTCTGCTGTGAGTGCGAGACACGTGGGGGTAGCACTGCGTGGAGTCTGCTGTTAGTACGAGACACGTGGGGTAGCACTGCGTGGAGTCTGCTGTGAGTGTGAGACACGTGGTGCAGCACTGGGTGGAGTCTGCTGTTAGTACGAGACACGTGGTGCAGCATTGGGTGGAGTCTGCTGTGAGTGTGAGACACGTGGGGTAGCACTGGGTGGAGTCTGGTGTGAGTGCGAGACACGTGGGGTAGCACTGCGTGGAGTCTGGTGTGAGTGCGAGAGACGTGGGGTAGCACTGCGTGGAGTCTGCTGTTAGTGTGAGACACGTGGGGTAGCACTGGGTGGAGTCTGCTGTTAGTGTGAGACACGTGGGGTAGCACTGGGTGGAGTCTGCTGTTAGTGTGAGACACGTGGGGTAGCACTGGGCGGAGTCTGCTGTTAGTGCGAGACACGTGGGGTAGCACTGGGTGGAGTCTGCTGTTAGTGCGAGACACGTGGGGTAGCACTGCGTGGAGTCTGCTGTGAGTGCGAGACACGTGGGGTAGCACTGCGTGGAGTCTGCTGTGAGTGTGAGACACGTGGGGTAGCACTGGGTGGAGTCTGCTGTTAGTGTGAGACACGTGGGGTAGCACTGCGTGGAGTCTGCTGTTAGTACGAGACACGTGGGGCTGCACTGCGTGGAGTCTGCTGTGAGTGCGAGACACGTGGGGTAGCACTGCGTGGAGTCTGCTGTGAGTGCGAGACACGTGGGGTAGCACTGCGTGGAGTCTGCTGTGAGTGTGAGACACGTGGGGTAGCAGTGGGTGGAGTCTGCTGTGAGTGTGAGACACGTGGGGTAGCACTGGGTGGAGTCTGCTGTTAGTGCGAGACACGTGGGGTAGCACTGGGTGGAGTCTGCTGTGAGTACGAGACACGTGGGGTAGCACTGCGTGGAGTCTGCTGTGAGTGCGAGGCACGTGGGGTAGCACTGCGTGGAGTCTGCTGTTAGTGTGGGACACGTGGGGTAGCACTGCGTGGAGTCTGCTGTGAGTGTGAGACACGTGGGGTAGCACTGGGTGGAGTCTGCTGTTAGTGCGAGACACGTGGTGCTGCACTGGGCGGAGTCTGCTGTTAGTGCGAGACACGTGGGGTAGCACTGCGTGGAGTCTGCTGTTAGTGCGAGACACGTGGTGCTGCACTGGGCGGAGTCTGCTGTTAGTGCGAGTCACGTGGGGTAGCACTGGGTGGAGTATGCTGTGAGTGTGAGACACGTGGGGTAGCACTGGGTGGAGTCTGCTGTGAGTGTGAGACACGTGGTGCTGCACAGTGCGGGTGAATGGGACGCGCCCGCCTTGCAGCGTAATCCAAGAACCCTAAAAATACCCGCGAGGAGTGGCACGGTGCCCACGTGGTGTGTGACAGGAGCAGGGCACCGCCGTGATGCGATATCTGCGCATTCCCATACCCACACACACATATATACAGAAACGTTATTTTTAACCAGGTGACAGCCCCTTGAGATGAACACAATATAGTTTCATGAACTGCAACTGGATTTAACGAGTTGCTTATTAAAAAAACATTGTTGAATGAAATAAAATTGCATCGTATTATTGTCACTGATCGATCTGGCCGGGTGGCATCGTGGTTAAGAGACCCAGATCTGTAAACGACGAGAACAACTCACGAGACGGAAGAGTGCAGTCTGCAAACGAGCGCACGTGACAGGGCACGCGTGGAGGACCCCCGGGGGGGGGGGGGGGACAGCACCCACCAAGTGGGCGCGTTCTCATCGCTCCGATTGGGGGTGCGAAGATCGCTCCGATTGGGGGTGTGAAGATCGCTCCGATTGGTGGTGCGAAGATCGCTCCGATTGGGGGTGCGAAGATCGCTCCGATTGGGGGTGCGAAGATCGCTCCGATTGGGGGTGTGAAGATCGCTCCGATTGGGGGTGCGAAGATCGCTCCGATTGGGGGTGCGAAGATCGCTCTGATTGGGGTTGTGAAGATCGCTCCGATTGGGGGTGCGAAGATCGCTCCAATTGGGGGTGTGAAGATCGCTCCGATTGGGGGTGTGAAGATCGCTCCGATTGGGGATACGAAGATCGCTCCGATTGGGGGTGCGAAGATCGCTCCGATTGGGGGTGCGAAGATCGCTCCGATTGGGGGTGCGAAGATCGCTCCGATTGGGGGTGCGAAGATCGCTCCGATTGGGGGTGTGAAGATCGCTCCGATTGGGGGTGTGAAGATCGCTCCGATTGGGGGTGTGAAGATCGCTCCGATTGGGGGTGTGAAGATCGCTCCGATTGGGGGTGCGAAGATCGCTCCGATTGGGGGTGCGAAGATCGCTCCGATTGGGGGTACGAAGATCGCTCTGAGTGCGGGTACCAAGATCGCTCCGATTGGGGGTGTGAAGATCGCTCCGATTGGGGGTACGAAGATCGCTCTGAGTGCGAGTGTGAAGATCGCTCCGATTGGGGGTGCGAAGATCGCTCCGATTGGGGGTGTGAAGATCGCTCCGATTGGGGGTGCGAAGATCGCTCCGATTGGGGGTGTGAAGATCGCTCCGATTGGGGGTGCGAAGATCGCTCCGATTGGGGGTGTGAAGATCGCTCCGATTGGGGGTGTGAAGATCGCTCCGATTGGGGGTGTGAAGATCGCTCCGATTGGGGGTGTGAAGATCGCTCCGATTGGGGGTGCGAAGATCGCTCCGATTGGGGGTGCGAAGATCGCTCCGATTGGGGGTACGAAGATCGCTCTGATTGCGGGTACCAAGATCGCTCCGATTGGGGGTGTGAAGATCGCTCCGATTGGGGGTGTGAAGATCGCTCCGATTGGGGGTACGAAGATCGCTCCGATTGGGGGTGTGAAGATCGCTCCGATTGGGGGTGTGAAGATCGCTCCGATTGGGGGTGTGAAGATCGCTCCGATTGGGGGTGCGAAGATCGCTCCGATTGGGGGTGCGAAGATCGCTCCGATTGGGGGTGTGAAGATCGCTCCGATTGGGAGTGTGAAGATCGCTCCGATTGGGGGTGCGAAGATCGCTCCGATTGGGGGTGTGAAGATCGCTCCGCTCGCAATTGTCAACTTGCGAGAGCTCAAATCGCGGCCGTGGGTCGACGATGCCACCCACCCCTCGTGGGTCAATAACTGATTACCACGTGATGGGGAAATCCTGCACGGGTTGTGGAAATTCAAAAGCGTCTGTCATCATGTGCGGAGAGACTGGCCCCTCAGCATTGGAATGTGGAATTTCCATCGCTGGCTGCCAATGAAGTGGAATTCCGGAAGGCCCTTTGACTTGACTACTACCGTAATATAGACCCCGTTTGTGGAATTTCAGAGTTCAGTCCCCAACCCAGACACCCCCCGTGGCCCCTGCCAAATGTGAACGTAACCTTTGGAGTAACCTCGTCAGGAACCCACGGCGCCCACTGCCGGTGCAGGATGCTACTTTGATGCACTTCACGACTTACTGGACTCGAGAAGAAGCCAGTAAAGTCACCGACGGCTGAAACACGAATCCGTGGCCAGGCTCTCAGCGGTGCTGGCTCAGTGCGCCTGGCTGACTTCGTGTAGACTGAGTGACTTAGTCAGGTACACGGGGGGGGGGGGGGTCTAAGCCCCCGCTTCTAAATCCTTAAATTCAAGTCAAACCGTGTTGGTGCGTGCAGCGTTCCCTCGTGCGCACACACACACACACACGAGCTGTTGTTTGCCCCTGCCCCCCCCCCCCCCCCCTTTGTATGTGCGTGTGTGCGTGTGTTGAACTTATGTCGCAGCGTATGTAGCCAAGCGTGCTAATCGGAGGTGCGGGTGCCGCATGCGGAGCTGCGTCCCAGCCAGTGCCGCGTGTCTCCTCCGCGTGTCTCCTCCGCGTGTTCTCGCAGGGCACACCGGCCGTCTCGTCAAGGCCATCTGCTGCAGCAGCTTCCTATTCCTGTGCCTCCACCTGTGCTTCCAGGCGACCATCGCCGCCTTCTCCGCCCAGCGGCGCCTCGACCACACGTTCAACTGTGAGCTCGTCCGCTCGCCCGCCCGCTTACTCATTCACCGACTCGTTCACGCCTATGTTGAACTCCTTTCGCAACTGCACGTTGCCAACTCACTCACTCCCCGACTCACTTGCTCGTCCACGTGCCCACTCGCTCGCTCGCTCACTTGCTCAATCTGATCACACACACACCCACACATCGTGCGAAGGCTTTCACCATATCAGCGTTCGAGGCGTATTCGTGTCCACAGAGGGGGTGGCAGTGTAGCAGGAAGGACGCTGAGCTTGTTGCCGCTTGGTGCCGTGGGGAGCCACCGGGAGCCACCGAGAGCTTTCCTCCCGAACGGTCACGCCACATAAGCCCCCCCACCCCCTTGGTTAATAATATTTAAAAAAAACTTTACAGCGTGTGCATCGCGGTTATCCCGTGGTTAGTTTTCAACTGCTGCCGTAGGAACGTGAAAAGTTCCATCACCGGGTGAGGGCTACCAATGAAGTTGGGACGCTGCCTCATTTGCTTCTTCATCGCCCAAAATGCCCAAAACTACTGAGCGGATGGCGAGGCTACGGCCCGGAGCTGCTGCTGCTGCCGCTGCCTCATCACGTTCAGCCAACAACACTGCACAGCACGTGTTCCATGGGAATGTGTGAGTTCCCACGGGGGAAGGTGGACGAAGTTGTTGTACGGACGAGGGCGCCGGGGCCGCCGAGAGCTGCAGGCGCGGACGGCGACTCCCGACGCGTCGAACGGGGGGGGGGGGGAGAGGCCTTCATAGGTGCATGCTAACAGCACTTGGCCAAGAGTCTGTTAAGGCTATACGGGGGAACTTTATGTTTTATTTTGGTGTGCTGGGGAGCGGTGGTGCAGCGGTTAGCGCGCTGCGCTACGAACCTGGCGACCGGGGTTCGATTCCTGCTTCACGACCAACGCGAGTTTTATTTAATAATATTCCATATACAACATGTATTAGAATTGTCCGATAGCTCTTAAGAGGCGCATATGAGCAGCAGAGTGAGTGTGTAATTGGATTGAGGGTAGACAGTTCACGATGCCGGCTGTAAATAATTGAGCAGCGCGATGTGGCACAGTGCACGTGGTGGGGGTTGTGGTGGTGGTTTTTTATCTCCCCGAGACCGTTTGTGGCACAGCGGCGCGAGGAACATTGTTGCCGTGTGGGGGATGAGTGCCCGCCAAGGGAACGTGGGGCAGAGTCGAGTGTGCGCTGTGTGAATGTGTTTGCGCTAGGTTGTGTGTGTGTGCGTTAGTGTATCTGTGTGTGTGTTAGTGTATCTGTGTGTGTGTGTTAGTGTATCTGTGTGTGTGTTAGTGTATCTGTGTGTGCGTTAGTGTATCTGTGTGTGTGTGTTAGTGTGTCTGTGTGTGTGTGTTAGTGTATCTGTGTGCGTTAGTGTATCTGTGTGTGTGTTAGTGTATCTGTGTGTGTGTGTTAGTGTATATGTGTGTGTGTTAGTGTATCTGTGTGTGCGTTAGTGTATCTGTGTGTGTGTGTTAGTGTGTCTGTGTGTGTGTGTTAGTGTATCTGTGTGCGTTAGTGTATCTGTGTGTGTGTTAGTGTATCTGTGTGTGTGTGTTAGTGTATCTGTGTGTGTGTTAGTGTATCTGTGTGTGTTAGTGTATCTGTGTGTGTGTTAGTGTATCTGTGTGTGTGTGTTAGTGTATCTGTGTGTGTGTTAGTGTATCTGTGTGTGTGTTAGTGTATCTGTGTGTGTGTTAGTGTATCTGTGTGTGCGTTAGTGTATCTGTGTGTGCGTTAGTGTATCTGTGTGTGTGTTAGTGTATCTGTGTGTGTGTTAGTGTATCTGCGTGTGTGTTAGTGTATCTGTGTGTGTGTTAGTGTATCTGTGTGTGTGTTAGTGTATCTGTGTGTGTTAGTGTATCTGTGTGTGTGTGTTAGTGTATCTGTGTGTGTTAGTGTATCTGTGTGTGTGTTAGTGTATCTGTGTGTGTGTTAGTGTATCTGTGTGTGTGTGTTAGTGTATCTGTGTGTGTTAGTGTATCTGTGTGTGTTAGTGTATCTGTGTGTGTGTGTTAGTGTATCTGTGTGTGTGTTAGTGTGTCTGTGTGTGTGTGTTAGTGTATCTGTGTGTGCGTTAGTGTATCTGTGTGTGTTAGTGTATCTCTGCGTGTGCTAGGTTGTGTGTGTGTTAGTGTATCTGTGTGTGTTAGTGTATCTGTGTGTGTGTTAGTGTATCTGTGTGTGCGTTAGTGTATCTGTGTGTGTTAGTGTATCTCTGCGTGTGCTAGGTTGTGTGTGTGTTAGTGTATCTGTGTGTGTTAGTGTATCTGTGTGTGTGTTAGTGTATCTGTGTGTGCGTTAGTGTATCTGTGTGTGTTAGTGTATCTCTGCGTGTGCTAGGTTGTGTGTGTGTTAGTGTATCTGTGTGTGTGTATTAGTGTATCTGTGTGTGTGTTAGTGTATCTGTGTGTGTGCGTTAGTGTATCTGTGTGTGTGTTAGTGTATCTGTGTGTGTGCGTTAGTGTATCTCTGCGTGTGCTAGGTTATCTCTGTGTGTGTTAGTGTATCTGTGTGTGTGTGTGTATTAGTGTATCTGTGTGTGTGTATCAGTGTATCTGTGTGTGTGCGTTAGTGTATCTCTGCGTGTGCTAGGTTATCTGTGTGTGTGTATTAGTGTATCTGTGTGTGTGTATATGTGTGTGTGTGTGTTAGTGTATCTGTGTGTGTTAGTGCCTGTGTGTGCGTTAGTGTATCTCTGCGTGTGCTAGGTTATCTGTGTGTTAGTGTATCTGTGTGTGTTAGTGTATCTGTGTGTGTGTTAGTGTATCTGTGTGTGTGTTAATGTATCTGTGTGTGTTATTGTATCTGTGTGTGTTAGTGTATCTGTGTGTGTTAGTGTATCTCTGTGTGTGCTAGGTTGTGTGTGTTAGTGTATCTCTGTGTATGTTAGTGTATCTCTGTGTGTGTTAATATATCTCTGTGCGTTAGTGTATCTGTGTGTGTTAGTGTATCTGTGTGTGTTAGTGTATCTGTGTGTGTGTTAGTGTATCTGTGTGTGTGCTAGTGTATCTCTGTGTGTGCTAGGTTGTGTGTGTGTGTGTGTTAGTGTATCTGTGTGTGTGTTAGTGTATCTGTGTGTGTGTGTTAGTGTATCTGTGTGTGTGTTAGTGTATCTCTGTGTGTGTTAGGTTATCTGCGTGTGTGTTAGTGTATCTCTGCGTGTGTTAGGTTATCTCTGTGTGTGCTAGTGTATCTGTGTGCGTGTGTTAGTGTATCTCTGCGTGTGTTAGGTTATCTGCATGTTAGGTTATCTGTGTGTGTTAGTATGTCTGTGTGTATGTATGTATGTATCTCTGTGTGTATGTATGTATGTATCTCTGCGTGTGCTAGATTATCTGTGCGTGTGTTAGTGTATCTCTGTGTGTGTTAGGTTATCTCTGTGTGTGTTAGTGTATCTGTGTGTGTTAGGTTATCTGTGTGTGTGTTAGTGTATCTGTGTTAGGTTATCTGTGTGTGTGTTAGTGTGTCTGTGTGTGTGTGTTAGTGTATCTCTGCGTGTGCTAGGTTATCTGTGTGTGTGTTAGTGTATCTCTGTGTGTGTTAGGTTATCTGTGTGTGTGTTAGTGTATCTGTGTGTGTGTGTTAGTGTATCTGTGTGTGTTAGTGTATCTGTGTGTGTGTTAGTGTATCTATGTGCGTGTGTTAGTGTATCTCTGCGTGTGTTAGGTTATCTGGATGTTAGATTATCTGTGTGTGTTAGTATGTCTGTGTGTATGTATGTATCTCTGCGTGTGCTAGATTATCTGTGTGTGTGTTAGTGTATCTCTGTGTGTGTTAGGTTATCTGTGTGTGTGTTAGTGTATCTGTGTTAGGTTATCTGTGTGTGTGTTAGTGTGTCTGTGTGTGTTTGTTAGTGTATCTCTGCGTGTGCTAGGTTATCTGTGTGTGTGTTAGTGTATCTCTGTGTGTGTTAGGTTATCTGTGTGTTAGGTTATCTGTGTGTGTGTTAGTGTATCTGTGTGTGCTAGGTTATCTGTGTGTGTGTTAGTGTATCTCTGTGTGTGTTAGGTTATCTGTGTGTTAGGTTATCTGTGTGTGTGTGTGCTGCACTACGAACCCGGTGACCAAAGTTCGATTCCCGCTCACGGCCAACACCAGTGACGATTATCTGAAACGGTCCTGGGCCTCCCCTAGGTTAACTCAGCCTCAAATAGGTACTTGGTGCGGTGTGTAAACATCGCTACTGGGGAGACAAAGGCGGCCGGGCGTGGCGCTGGCCAGCCACCCCCTCGTGTGACGTGCCAGCACTTGCAGCAACAGTCTGTGTGGGCTATACGGGGGATCTTTGTCTTGTCTTTGTGGTGTGCCGAGTGGTTGTGTGAATGCTGCACCAACATTCATGTGCGGCCAGTAGTGACGCAGCTGTTAATCCATGAGCTTGATTGCAGGGTTGGTGGGTCACGTAGAGATCCTGTATTTGGTATCGTAGATCCACCGACACGGGCAGCAGTATCCCCCAGAGCTTGCAGGAGAGCATTCAGGGTTCTGAGACACTTTCTTTACGGCAGAGTTTCACTTCAGTGTTTTCTCACCATGGCCACCTCTACGCCCCCCCCCCCCAACACTAATCCCATAACCACCACCACCACTAACCTCATAACAACCACCACTAACCCCATAACAACCACCACTAATCCCATAACCACCACCACTAACCCCATAACCACCACCACCACTAATCCCATAACCACCACCACCACTAACCTCATAACAACCACCACTAACCCCATAACAACCACCACCACTAACCCCATAACCACCACCACTAACCCCATAGCCACCACCACCACTAACCTCAAAACAACCACCACCACTAACCCCATAACAACCACCACCACTAATCCCATAACCACCACCACTAATCCCATAACCACCACCACTAACCCCATCACCACCACTAACCTCATAACAACCACCACTAACCCCATAACCACCACCACTTATCCCATAGCCACCACGACTAACCCCATAACCACCACTAACC